CGATATTTACTAACGCTTCCTTGGCGTCAGACTCTGGAAAGAGATCCAGTGAGTCCAAAGCTCGCTTACTAAAAAATGAACTCAATTCTTTCAACTGTATCACTGTTTCTTCTTGGACGACCATGCCAGACAGTTCTTGGTGTAGTTGATCCAGTTTGTCTGTGTTTTGCTCTGAGAAGATTTCATTTAGCAGTTTTTTCACCTCAGTGCGGTTACTGGAGAGAATTATGGGTGCACTGTAGAGAATAGCTGTAGATTTTTGTTCCTGGAGAGACTGAAAGTCTTCCTTTAACTGGTGAGCATATGCTATATTCTTCCCAAATTCAAAAGCCTTTTCCTGAAGCTAGAAGTAACCAGTCAAAACAAATCAGTTCAATTATCACACAAATGCAAATACAGTAAAAGAAATCATGTGTTCAGCATACCATGTAAAGTAGCATTTCTTATACTCTAATCACCCTGAAATGATTATAAAATATTTTGTAACTTATCTTAATAAACACAAACACACCATCAGGAGCAGGTATCTTGTTTATCGATGCAGGATACAGCAAGCATTACATCATAAAACACAAACCTGGTTCATTTTGGAGATAAAATTGTATATGATCACTATAAACTCACCTCTTTTGAATGTGCAACAATCTTGAGGGCCGCTTTACAACTGTTTGCCATCAAGCTTCCCTTACACTTAAACACTAGCTCATTCCAAAACTCCAAGTTCAAATTATCAGCATTAAATGTGATCTTCAGAACTTCTCCCTCCATCAAATGTCCAATTACCTCTGAGATCATTTGCACTACCTCAGTGTCTTTAAGTTCTGCTAAACCAGTACAGGCATTTGCTAGAAGAAAGTCACCACTCAACACAGCCATCTTGTTACCAAATTCCATGTCATCCTGATATGACTTACTGGATGATGAGATGTTGGATAGATTCACTATACCTGTATGCACCAAGCTGGCTGCAACAGAAAAAAAGTACTCAGTCAAAAACAAAACAGCCTATGCTTTGGTCTTGAATCTGCTTTACCACTGGCATAAGGGGCTCTGCTCCTGGAGTGGGACTCCAATATAAAAAGGACAAGGGTACTTGTCAGACCTTTTAGGGATTAAAAAAGCAGTTTTGATACCTCTTAGGGTGTTCAGCCTAAAAAGGTCCACAGCAGGAACTTTTGTGGTACATTTTGGGATATAGAGCTGAAAGAATATGACAGAGATAATGTGTTGCTCTAGAGTTGGTACCTCTTAGGGGTGAAAAATGTTTAAGCCACGCCCACAAAACAAAATCTTGGTACCTCTTAGGGGTTCTTTTCAAAATTTCTGATGAGCACCCCAGTCCTTTTTATATAGGAGTCCCTTCCCCCTCTTCCCCTCCCCCCCAAATCGGGGCTCTGCTGCTGAACCCTGAACAATCAATTGATTTAGCCAAGCTAGTTTCTTTGTAAAACACTTTGAAAAACCCACTCTTTATAAGGCAGTTAATGAATGTACTTCCCTTGTACTTGTCCCACCCCACCCCCTCTCCATGGTGTGTGTACTACAGGGGGGATATTTAAATTTGTAAGTGGATGGGAGTTCTCAGAGTTCACAGCAGTCCAGGATCCATGTCTCAAACCGCTCTAAAATCTTATATCCCATCTCAGACAAGAAGTAAAGACAGCGCCACCAACCATAGCTGCCAGATTGCTGGTAACAGTAGTCACTATTTTATCCACCTACATGCAGCCCCAGTAGTTCAAAGGATTCATAATGATATCCACTGGACAATGAACTATCCAGAGAAAAGCATCACATTATTAGTAGTTTGTTTTCTGGACACTTATTCACTGGACAGCACCTTACACACTGTATGTGGACCCAGTTGTTCAGAGGATACATGTCAATAAAACTTTAACCTACTGGTTAAATCATTGTCTAGCGGACTGTGTCTTTAACTGGCTGGATATTGGCCCAGTTCTTTTGTTTTTTCATTTTACAGACCAAGCTAAGGTCCATAAAAAAAAACAACATTGAGGCAATATTCAGTCTTCTTGACCGAATAAGGTTGGTCAATAACGGATTTGGTATATGGTATAAAGAACACCATTTTCTTTCGGGAAACAGTGGGTAGTCCTGAGCAGGCAAGATACCCCAGTCTTGCCCACTCAAGTAGCCAATCACAAAGGAGGATTTGGTTCATCTTGCCCAGTTGCAGAAGTAGCTACATAGTAAAGTGATTTATCCGGTGAACATAACACATAATTATACCCTAGCTTATATTCAAACCCAATTCAACTGCCAAGGCACTTGTCGTTAGGCCAGGGCATTTCCCTGGGATTGGAATTGTGCAAGAAAATTCTCTTCCATTTACTAACTGAAACACATTTATTAAGAAGAACAAAACATTGAAAACAAAATTAGGTCACTGCTACCTGTGTGTATAGTTTCTGTTATATCAGCTAGCTGTCTCTGGCTTGAATGGATGTCAGCTACTAATTCCTGATCCGTGCTCCAGTCACTTTGTAAACATGGCCGAGAAGCTTTGGACACGAGGAGCACCAACAGTCCACGAGTTTGCATAGTATTGTTCTCGTCTGATACGAAGCCTCGAGCTGTTCGCAACATGGGATGCTTGCTCATGGCGAACCTTTTCATGTACATGGCGATGTTAGAGATTTCGTCACTCAACAGATATCGCAAATTTAAGAACGACGTCGGATAGCCAACAATTTTCTCAGCGTCCGAAAGAGCTCTGGTCAAATCGTCTTGTCGGGAAGACCAGATATGTCTCCTCATAAAAAGACGTGCGCATCGAAATTGACTTGAGAAAAACGCAGAGTTATGTTGTGGCAAGCTACGTTTGGAGTCATGATAGCTTCTGATGAAACGAAAAGCTAAGAGCAATGGTTTTCTTTCCTTCGCAAGGGTGCAAACGACCGCCATTTTGGATGTTTGAACACACGCAATCGCGCCGCGTTCAAATGTGCCAGTGGTGACATAACAAACAGGTTGCTACGTCATGTAAGTCGTATTGTTGACTCCCAAAGATATTACTCGGCTTGCATTTGCGGTGGCTGTACAGAGAGTTCAGAGCCACCTTAAAATTTCAGCACTTTAAGGTGGCTCTGAACCCTATGTACATATTTTTTTTTAATTTTGCCAAAAGTTGCGTCTTATCATGCTTATCAACATTTGATAATAAAAAAAATAATAATTGTGCCGTTTTTGAATTATAAGCCCCGAAAGCTGTAATTAAGGGTGTTTTAGCAGGTCATACTGTTGCTATGGTAACCTATTGTGTCACGAAAACGATAACAACGTGTTCACCAATGATTGGGCATTTTTTTGATACTATGATGTGGCTTCAAACAGCTGAAGCCATCAAGTGATAAAGAGTGGTTATAATGACCCATAAAAATCTAACTGCTGGAAACTGTTTTGAACCACCTTAAAACTCAACTATCGACCAATGAGAGCGCGCGTAGTATCTCATTTATTTTATTCCTGTGAATCAATGTCTGGGCAACACACGCAGCACAAAATATGCAGTGTCAATTACACATTTGATCTTCCAAATGAGATGTCAGAAAAAAGACGACTACTAAGCAAAGATTTGTAAATTATATTTGCTTTTCTGAACAAATCTCGCACACCTATATTCCTCCAACTGACAAAGAGGAAATGGCTCTTTTCTTGAGTCTTCATGGTATGTCTTGTAAAAAGTAAATATGAAAACTAAATATGAAAATTTTGAATATATGAAAATTCGCTTCAGTTTTTTTTCTATTTTTGAGTTGGGAGTTATTACAAAATGGTTAATGACTGACCCCACGGGAAACAGTGAGTTTTTCTTCCCCTCGACCTCAATGTTCGCCTCAGCTTCGCCTCGGGGAACATTGAGGGTCTCGGGGAAACAAAACTCACTGTTTCCCTTAGGGCCCGTCATTTTAAAAGTGCTTATTGTTTTATATATTTAATCTATAACCCTACATGGCTATGGCTTGAAACAGCTGTAAAAATAACAAAGGATAGTGCTTGGATGAAGGTTAATTAAGCCGTTGACGGGTTGTGTGAACTGAACATGTGGTACAAAATATTGAACGACGTGGGAGAAAAATTTGGTTGAGCTAAACGCTGGACATTCAAATGCAAACACTCGCTGGAGTCCTTGACAGGTACTGTTGAAGTTATATTTGGGCAGACATCCTTTAAAGGATGGTTCAAATAAAAGTCATTTCACATTTTATAAGAAGAAAGAGGCGATTCATCGATTCTATATTTCTTCCCTAAATTTCATTTATTAATAAACTGGGTGTTGTCGTCTGTACAAGTGAACTTTCGCAGGGATTATCAAGAGCACACCTGTAAGTAGCATCCGGTGATCTGAAACCTTTTGCCATGTAAGTAAATGCTGTTAATATCTATCTACCCGCTATTCTTAGGAACTGAGTGGTCCTTAGGAGTTTGCTATAACTGAGTTCCACCATTATCGCATGAATTTAACGCTAAATATCTCGTCAAGAAGTGTTAATTTTGTGTAGCGTTAATTTCAATGTCCTCAATAAGGTTACACCTAGAGATATTTCCCAATACACTATTGATTTTATCCACAGATTTTTGAATTGTGTCCTCAGAAGATAGTAAATTCAAGACATCGTGAACAGATCTTTCAATTTGGGATATTCTTATCTTTTAATCGATATTTACAAAATTTTAAGTTCTTTCCGTCTTCAGAGTTTTTTTTTACCTCACTTATTTAAAGACGTTTGGTCGAAAATGTTCTTGACCAAAGATTTTTTTTACATTTTCCTCCGGTCAGTTAATGAATTATTTTATGGGGCTCACCGACTTCGTTGGGTAAATACCCTGTAACTCGGTAAGGTCTCCAGCTGTCGAAGTCAAATATTATCTCAGTATGTCCTGGGCGGATCTAGGGCGAGGGTGCAGGGAGTGCGCAGCCCCCCCCCCCGCCCCCTCTCCCCCTACATGAGATGAACCCTTTTTCTTCGTATTGGTTTTTAAAATTTGTTTACCTCACCAGTCATTCACGCCATTCGTTAGTGGTGCAACCCCTCCTGAGAAAAATCCTGGATCCGCCCCTGATCTCTGTTGTACAACTAGTCATCCTTTTAATAACTGAAACTTTACCCTTCTAGAAGTCATTTGCAAACGTCGTACAGCTGAAATAAAAGCGGAGGCAGAGGACTAGAGAAAAATCAAAATTCTACACCACAGGGTATGTCATTTTTTGTTATTTCTTAATATAACATAGGGAAAAAGGCCTTTATCTCATCCGAGTTAATTTCGTTTATTTTTGATGATTTCGCCATCCTATTTTCAGTAATAATTTAAATCATTTTTCCAAGTTCTTTTTAACAGTTCGCTTCATATTTCGATTTATTACTGAGAAGTTTTGTCAGGCCAGCGTTTATCGTATGCTATAGACCCCTATATGACGGTTAAAGAGAAAGAAATGAGAGATCAGTACAAACTGCACCCAACAATGCGTGTTCTGGTGTGTTTTTGATGATAACGTGAAACTCCTTGACACTTTCCTTCGAGAAGTCGGAAAAAAAAATTGTAGCTCGTCGGGGTAATAGCATTCACTCTCAGGATGTTCCTCATCGTCGTCGTCTCTCATCGTTTTTAGAAGCTACAATTTTCAGGAAAAAAGCAACAGTTTTTTAAATTACTTTTTGCTTTGTTTTTGCAGGCGCGCTATCAGCCTGCGGGCATTACGGTGAGAATAATGCCCTAGAATTAGCCAATCAGTCGAGCGCGCGTTATATCGGTTTCAAACACAAGCCATATAATAATAAGTACTTAATGACTGGCCCCGCGGAAAACAGTGATTTTTGTTTCCCCGAGACCCTCAATTGAGTTTGAGGGGAAACAAAACTCCCTGTTTCCCGCGGGGCCAGTCATTTACTTACATGGCAAAAGGTTTCGGATCACAGGACGTTACTTACAGGTGTGCTCTTGATAATCTCTGCGAAAGTTCACTTGTAAAGACACCACTGCTTATTAATAAATGAAATTTAAGGAAGAAATATAGAATCGCCGAATTGCAGCTTTCTGCGTATAAAATATAAAATGACTGTTGGTTGAACCATCCTTAAAAGGATGTCTGCTCAAATACAACTTCAACAATACCTGTCAAGGACTTCAGTGAGTGTTTGCATATGAATGTCCAGCGTTTAGCTCAACCAAAATTTTCTCCCACGTTATGCGATGTTTTGTGCCATGCACACGTTCAGTTTACACGACCCGTCAACGGCTTAACCTTCATCTTAGCGGGGCTCGAGACTAACTTTTCAGCTTGCCAACCCAGTGGCTAGTGACAGGTTTGATTCACTAGCCAAAACAAATTTTTCACTAGCCAGACGCACACATTTACAAACATAGGCATCGATGTTATAATTATAGGCGTCGCTCAACAACGAAAACCGAAGTTTTCGCTTCCGTGAGAAATTCCCACAGAACTTCGCAACTCGCCGCCGAAAAACATTCCTTACTTTCAAAATGCCGATTCACGATTTCTCATGAACACAATTCCTTCCATCTTAACTTTATTTACAAGTTGCAAAAATAGGCATCGATATTATATAGGCATCATTCAAATTTTCGAACAACTGCGAATTGTTTAATTTTTTGAAAGCGTAGGTGACCTCCGGATGCTGCGCGCACGAAACATGATCCCTAGCAATCTCGTTCCCAGAGTCCTCGTTCCCCTTGACCAGCGGTCGGAAAACGAGAGCTCTGGGAGCGACCATTTCAGGCATGCGCCATAGATGCAGACGGCACAGTGAAACCCAATGGGCAGAATCACCGGAATTCGGTTATTTCAAACTGGTTGCTCCCAGAGCTCTCGTTTTCCGACCGCTGGTCAAGGGGAACGAAGACTCTGGGAACGAGATTGGATCCCTAGATTCTACATGATTTGACGCATGACTTATCAAGCAAGCAGTTCGTTTGTCGTTCGTCGCTTTTTACTAAGGGAAAAAACAAACAAAAAAGTCAATCATTCTTTCGCATTTTTGTAATTTAAAGTTCTTGTTTGGGCCAATAAATTATATATGATATTTATCGCAGCCGATGCTTTAAATTCTGCACGCTTTGACTGGATTTCGTTTTGTGAAAAATTTGAAATTAACTTTTAATTGGTTTCCTCTGGCCTCTGGGCCTCCAGTGCGCACGAATTTTCATTTTTACTAGCCAAAATGGTTTGCGAAGTGCAAAAACCATTAGACAAAATGGAATTTTTACTAGTCTGTGACTAGTTGGCTACCGTTAGTCTCGAGCCCTGTCTTAGCAATATCTTCTGTTTTTTTTTACAGCTGTGTGAAGCCATAACCACACATGGTTATAGATCATCTAAAGCAATAAGCACTTAATGACTGGGCCTAAGGGGAACAGTGAGTTTTGTTTCCTCGAGACCCTCAATGTTAATGCGCGCTCTGATTGGCTTATTCTAGAGCATCAGCGCGTAATGAACATGAAACGCGTCCTAGGGAAATGAATCAACAATGAAGATGATATACGAATTTTGGCCCGGAAACTACTAGAAATGTTCCATTAACTTAAGTAACCTCATTGTACTGCTAATATTTCAACAACGAAAAGAACCATTTTGAAAATTAAGGAAGATACACACAGATCTAGCACAGAAATCTAAAAGGCGTGGTTATACTGTCCTATTGTAAACGATCTGGAGTAGGAGCTAGAGTGAATTCTGCCGAACTGGAAGTCATCAGCGCTAGATTTCGTGGTAGTGGAGGCCCCGTCCGCACAGTGCCGGACAAAATTGAAAACGCAGGTTTATTTCTCAAGTACGGTTAGGCCCATAGCTACAGTCCACACTAATTGGCCTTCACGAAAACGGAGCTTTTCGAAAACGCCCTTCAAACCGGAGGAATTTGAAAACGCCGGGTTTGCATTTTAGTGTGGGCGGAAAACATTTTGAAAACGGAGCTTTTCGAAAACGGTGACATATTCCCTGCTCGAGTCTTCCTGAAACACAAATCCAAAATGACCGGTGATCGTTGCGTTTTTCAATTTCTCCGGCGTAGTGTGGACGGAAAACAATTGATGAGTTTTTAAAGTGAAATCGCCGTTTTCAAATTTCTCCGGCGTAGTGTGGACGGGACGTAAAAAGCTATTCAAAGCAAGGAAGCATTTCATTTTACAAACTATGAATTTTTGTGGACAGTTGCGTGTGATTGGTCTAAACAGGTCACGCGACACAATCAAAGATAGGAGTTGTCCGAGGAGATTCCACAAGCGATATACTCCAAGAGACACCCCCAGTCTTTCGGCGTTTTTTTGTCGCGAATACTTACATTGATACCTCAGTTCATATAATATGAATAGAGCTGAATGTTTTGAACAAACTGGCAAGATTTTATACAGCTAAAAGAATTGCATTGACTTTAATAAGCGCTGTGGGGAAACAGAGCGTGTTCGCGAGCAGAGAAATATCTGTGCAGTTTTCGCAGCAAATGGATGTTTTGTTTATCCGTGCTGCCACATTTTCTCGAGATCCGCTGTGCCTATGTGCCTGCGACATATGTGCCTGTGACATCATCTTCTGATCCGACTGATCTCGCTGAATTGTTTTCAATTTGCTTTAGAAACAGTCTTGCATCAACAAAAATGAATCTGTTGGCATGAAGAGGGATTATTGTTCATTTAAAGAACAAAACACAAAGCTTCACACAGATCCTACTGCAAACAGCGCAACCGGTCGCTTTGTTACCATTTGCAGGTACCCGGCGCAAATTTGTCAATGAAATGCATCATTAAATTCAAATCCTTTAAAAGCTCCGTGGAAAGTTTGTGTTCCGTATCGTTTACAGTTCCTATGTGTGTCTAACTGGAGATTTCTGAATTATTGTTTACCGGCTTTTGGAGAAAGGGAATATGCGTTGATGGCTGGCTTGGACTGATTTTATTTGGTTGTTTCGGCGAACTCTTCTTATTGGAAATTTTCAGGGCCTTTAAAATAAGGATGACATATTCAAGTCCTCGATCCCACGGGCTGAGTTTTGCAAACGATTTCAGTACAGATACTCCTCTTGATTTAAAAAGGTCACGGTATCTTGTGGCCTTGATTTGAGGTAAAACCGAAAAGACCAGCAAACGAACAAGATCATCGGTAGCGACCTGGCCTGTGGGGTTTCTTTTACGGCAAACGAAAATCTGTCACAGAAAGAAAAACAGCAGCATTCAAGTTTCATGGTGTGTTCACTTACGGACAGTTGTTTATTGTAGCCGGCTACACAATATTGTTTATCTGTCGTTCTGTCAGTGGGATAAAATACGTCAAAAATTATTTGTCTATTTTTATGCTACACTGATTTGTTGCCCTTCCAGCTAACTAATTTGCTATTTCTGGGGACTAAACCTTGTTTTTTACCGTGTGATTGTAATCTAGTGCTCAAACGTTTCCATTTTTGGGGAGTTGCCTATTAACGGATTTGGCAATTACTTTCTTTATTTTCACGCCATCATACAGTCCCGAGCAAATGGCAGAATGACGGAGAATGATCTCATGGCGAGGGAATGCTTGTTGATCGCTTGACTGCTTGCCACCAGCCTCACTTTTACAGCACGGCGAGTTAGGAATCGGAAAGTGGGTGATCACATTAAAGCAAGGCACAGCGGCTGAGAAGAACCGTTAACGACAGCATGATGGTCTGGTTGCGACCCACGTCTAAACGGAGAGCACTTTTATTAGGATGTTTTATAATGATTGTGATAAGGACCGTGTTGTTTGTAGTCCACTTTTACAAGGATGAAGCAGCGCGAACTCGAAAACCTGTCCGTCTACGGGCAGGTGGGGAAAAGCCACCGGCTGAGAATTCGAATAGCTACGTCGAGTGGAATGAACAAGACTTTCCTAAACCTCAGAGGAAACGACTGATAATTTACTGGTCTGGAGTGAGAGGACACAAAGTGCCCGTTCAAAAGACGGCCGTCAATCATACGCATTTCTGGCCGTTTTTCTATGCGGGTAAACCCGGGGAATGTCCCGTCCCATGTGAACTCTCCAGCGATCAGTCACGTGCCGCGGAAGCCAGCGCGTTTGTTGTTCATGCCAGACCGCCGGACATTTCAAATCTTCCTCCGATTGAAAATTTAGCGCCATGGATTCTTCAAACGAACGAGAATCCAGTGTACACACCATCGCTGTATGATTCACGGATTATGTCACAGTTTAACCTGCTCGTAAGCTATCGTTTGGACTCGGATTTTCCAGCTCCTATTTACCCTATGCCTGAGTTAGATCCGCCCATACCATTCCACAAGCGACAGGGCGGTATCTTAGCCATCTTTTCCAAGTGTGAACCCGTCAGGACGGAGTACATGCGGCAACTCATGAAATACACTCAAGTGGACTCGTTCGGCGCATGCTTGAAGAACAAGGAGGGGTTGATAGGACTATATGGTAAAATTAACAATCGCTATGTCTTCAAAGACCACAAGCTCTTACTGTCACGGCACTACAAATTCTCTTTGGTTTTCATGAACCAGGATTGCGATTACTTCATAGACGACAGGCTCTACCATGCACTCACCACTGGTTCGGTTCCGATATTTATGGGTACCGACAAAGTGGACGAATTTTTGCCAGGAAATCTCAAGAACTCCATCATAAAAGTTAGCGATTTTAAAAGCCCAAAAGAATTAGCTGCTTATATAGATTATCTTAGTAGTAACGAGACTGCATATAACAAGTATTTAGAGTGGAAATGGAAGGGTTTAGGAGACATTTCAAACACAGCCATCGGACGTTGGTGGAAGCCACGATACCCGCTTTTCTGCCAGGTATGCATGGCGCTGGCGAAAGGAAAGCTTCATCGCGGGCTCAAGCTAGACTATTGCCCTCCGCGCAGGTACGAGGAATGGGGCCTACAAGATCCTAACACTGTTTTCACGGATTATTATAGCATAATTATTTATGGTGGTTTTGTATTGTTTGTTGTAGCAATACTAGTGTCATAAATTACTTAAAAACAGACGACGGGTTTAGCAATTTTTCTTTAATTAGGTTATATATACTTAATTAACTAGGTTTCTGGTTTCATTCTTCATAGTTTGGCAACATTTGTTCATGTTTGGTCATGAAACGTTATCTAAAGGAGAACAGTCTGTAGTCTGGGCCTAGAAGGGAACTGGTACCTACCTTGACTATTGAGTCTGCGGTTTGCGGCAAAGGTGTTGCTTAGCAACATCATGGATCTTCAGGCCTCTTCGTCAGCTGAACTCTGGAACTTACTGCTGAACGAGTAACCTGAAGACTCGCCCACACGGGTACGAGATAGGTTGCTTATAGCAACACTGATAGCAAAAGCTGACTTGCCATCCCACAGAGGGCTTGCGCTTTTATATTGATTGGAATTAAGGTGGCTTACTACAGTTTTGATGGATTATGACAGCCCAACTTCTAACTCTTTTGAAAAATGTTCCAAGATGTTTTTCCTTTCTCTATTTACTGTTTACTTAAGTCTTTTACCATTCTATGTGAAACTTGAACAATTAAACGTCAACACATGGCCAAAATGAACGACCGAGTATCCAAGGAGAGACTGGGCACTAGTAGATTAAATCACGTTTTTCTCAAAGTCTACCCGTATGACCCCACCTAAAAATTTCAAAAATAAGTAATTGGCTCTGATTTAACATTCATGCAAAGTAAAATAAAAATCTGTAAGACAGATTTTGAGCTAGTTTTAATATATCACATTTTCTTAGTTTGCGAAAAATCTGTCTTACAGATTTTTATTTTACTTTGCATGCATGTTGAATCAGAGCCAATTTCTTATTCCTGAAATTTTGAGGTGGGATCATACGGGTAGATTTTGAGAAAAACGTGATTTAACCTACTAGTGCCCAGTCTCTCCTTAGGTACTCGGTCGTTCATTTTGGCCATTTGTTGACGTTTAATTGTTCAAGTTTCACATCGAATGGTAAAAGACTTAAGTAAACAGTAAATAGAGAAAGGAAAAACATCTTGGAACATTTTTCAAAAGAGTTAGAAGTTGGGCTGTTATAATCCATCAAAACTGTAGTAAGCCACCTTAAAACACGAATGGGAAAGTTTGTGCGGATTTGCCACAAAGGGCACATGTTCCTGCAACATAGCTAGACTTGATTACCAGACTGGGCTCCAGAGAACTAGATGTCATGGTAAAAGGTTTCAGTTTTTGTTGTAAATATACAATTCAGACCTCAGGTTGCAAAGTAGTGTTGAACTCTTAGTTGGGGAAAGGTTTAATTAGTTCGGCTAGTTTAAATTACTTTTTTCTTTTTAAGGAGATTTATTTTTGTAATAAACATCTTTCACGAGAATTCACTGTTCTTAGTCTACTCAATACCGCGCGTGGGGAGAGGGGGGTGGGGTTATACGGTAGCAATATTTATGGTGGCTTCATGCTACAGAGAGAGGAATCTCGTCAAATCCGCTCCAATTTTTAACTTCTACATTGCTAGTGTGAGCCAATTTTTATTAAAATTGTTCATAAGCCGTGCTCGAAACTATCATAAAAATGTAAGTTGTTGTCGGGTGTGGCCTTGAGTGTAGTGTCGCAATCCTGTATAAGGCTGGTTTTCACTAGCGACGGAGTCGTAAGAGCGCTTATGACCTTGTGAAAATCGAAAATCGGAGTCGTAAGCGGAGTCATGCATAAGCTCGACGGAATCAAAGTCGGAAAAATCAGAACGTTTCCATTTCTTCTGATTCCGTTTACGTCTCCGTCGCTCATGATCCAGTGATAACTAGATTGTTGGAGTCGGAAGCAGAAGCGACAGAACACTGTGATTTGTTTATTCTTCCGCTTCTGCTTCCGATTCCGACAATGTAGTTTTCACTAGATCATAAGTAACGGAGCCATGAGCGGAATCGTTATTCTGCCACGACTACGTCGGTTTGATTTTCATCAGATCGTATCACTCTGTGCCTCTGATTACGACTCCGACTACGACTCCGACTACGACTCCGTCGCTAGTGAAAACCAGCCTTAATCATTTACCTGATAGTCTGCGACTTAAATAAAATTGCATTACCCCAGAGAAAGCTTTCATATTATTACAGGATGCCGAGAGAATCAGCATATATTTGTGACAAATTGAAATACACAGTACACAGGGAACCCAGAGTCCGTAAAGCCAGGTCAACTTAAGCTTTGTATGAGAATGCGCCAGTCAGATCGTAAAAAAGTGTCCATTGTACCCATTAACCTGTGTCCATAATACGCAGGCTAATGAAATTGAGAGAAAACATGAGGTTTTGGTCGAGACAAACAAGGCTGTCCGTAATAAGTGAGTGTATATATTAAGTGTCCATAGAGCGGGGCTGTTACTATAATAGACCAATTTCGATATGCTAAAATTCAGCTTAAAACAATAAACCTCAGCACGAGGCTCTGGGGAATAACTACAGAGTTTGTGGGGTTTATTCCCGAGAGCTTCGTGCTGAGGTCTATTGTGTTAGGCTGAATTTTAATACATAGAAATTGGTCTATTACCTAACGATACACAAAAATTGGTAAAACCTTAAGTGAACATATTTAAAAAGTTATAAATGGCAGTTTTGCTGTTTGGAGACTGTGTTAGACGGTAGCATTTAGGCAACCCATATCTCTTCCAAAAATAGACATTTCTCTCTTATTTAATAACAAGTACTGGAATTCTTAGGAAACTTTCAGAACTTCGTGAATTTTTGCTCATGTGTGAGAATGGCCGAGAAAAAGAGGAGCCATTGATTATGATGCTTTCCCGTTTGGTAATTACTGTTAATTTTGAACCGGGCATTTAGTCAGTTCAGATCATAAAGGATATTTATGCTTGCCAGGATGCTGGCTTTTCTATGATCCCCATGACGTAGGCTGCAATTTTTGCAATCTATCCTTCTAGATTGTTCGATGAAGGATAGACATTATTTCGTCTTTCCTTCACTTTGTAGCTATATTCGTGGAATTTAATCTTACCATCTGAGAATTCCTGAGACGATTAGCCTCCTGCAGACTCAGGGCGAGTTCAATCGTAACACGCGTGTTGCGTGCACGCGTGGACCCGCTCCACTCAATCTGAAGCCCGAGTCAAGCACGGGACACTAGTCAAATTCTGTCAAGCGTACACCATGCCTTTTTTGGTCATTTTTGTATTGCGGTTTTCAGCTTTGTTTTTCACTTGTTATCTTGCTTAATCGAATACCTAGTTCGCAAGGTCGCGCTTTCTAGAAGAGTTGTTGCGAGCAATTAAAATCTATTTCTCACTGTCAGTTTTCAGAGTTTATTCCACTCAAATGAAGCAGATTTAGTTGCATTTTCGCGGTTTATTTTCAATAGTGAATGACACATTGACTCTCAAACCGGCTAAAACAGGCTTTCAAGGAGAGTGGTGCTTATACTAGTCACATGTAACACCATCACCTTAAAGCTCTCTTATAAGGAGATTAAATTGATCATCAGCTGATGATAAACGGAGAACAAAAACCTTTAAGTGCTGCCTAAAAGAGTATAACAGCACGAATTATAAAAGAGATAGACATAAAAAACGTACAAAGTTTTCGTCTCTAATCAGACTCAATGACCATATTCCTTGACGTTTCCGAGAAAAACAAAGGCAACTAAAAGGCCGATTAAAATAACACAAAAGAAGGAAAGAGAAAATAAGAGAACAAAAGGCAAAAGAAAATAAGAAAAGCTTGAAGGGGTATAAATTTGCCTTGTGCGCATGTCCAACTAAGCTATTGGCCTCAAAATGACAGGGGGAGTTAGTTTCCATCTTCAAATGAAGTTTTGTGCCGTTCAGTTTGGCTGGAATCTCTTGGGAAAAGAGCCAGAAATGTGCTTGTAACTGAAACAAATATTTACAAGAAATCTATATTGTAGTAAAAGTGATGGAAGCAATTATGTTCAAGTTCGAGTTCAAGAAAAATTCACGGAGAAGGTCAGCCCGTAATTTTGAGATCGGCCAAGTGCACAGCATGGGGAAAACAATTTTGAGTAAAATTCTCCCCCCTCAACCCCCCTCCCGCGAAGCTTATCATTTGGCCCATTTCGGATGAAAGTCACATGGATTAATCAAATTTCCGGAAATCTGTTTCGAAGTTGTAGATTGCCCTATGAGTTAGCTTTCGAAACGGAACAGAACGACGTGTTCCGGCAGATTGTCCGATTTCTCTTTCCTATAATTTTCTCCTGTGAAAAAGTCAGTGGAACATTCCATCGATTACAGTAAGAAAGAAACCATTGTATGCTTATAAAGTGACAGACGAATGGCATGATTATTTTTTTTCTCCTTCTTCTTGGTTCGCTTCGAAGTGGGCTGTTGACAACGAAGAGAAAAACATCACTGTCAACTCGATCTCATGATACTCACTCACAATCACAATATTTAATTCCCTAACTGACTGCAAAGCAGTTGGCACACTCAAACGGGGCAGTTGGTGGGGGAGCGGGGGAGGGGCGGGTTGCGGACAGCATATGCTGTAGAGATTTGATATCTTAATGGTATTGGGTATTCTACCAAAAAAAAAACCCTATTAGATACCCCATGGCCCATTCCCCACCGTACTGTATGCGTAACGGCGCTCTCGTGACTCGAGGTGACTCGGCTTGAGGCTGGCTCGTGCTTGCTGAAGTGCCTTTGTCATGTATTACCGCTGGTCCTTCGTCAGGAAGAGAAATAATCGAGCGAGTGTGAAATTAGATTATTCCCCATGGAGCGATATCTTGTACAACAAGTAGAGCTGTTCAGAAGTTTTTGTTAGCCCGAAAAGAAGGCGGGAATGGCAGATCAAAGCGTAGGCACAGGAAAATTTGCCGGCCTGTTACTTCTTCTTCAAGGATTGCTGATAATTTTGTTCGTAGTTTTTGTGGGCTACAGCGACGATCTCCTTACAGGACTGCCAGAACAGGCCGAACATGGGATAAAGATCGAGAGCAACTATTCTGGTAAGCGATACCGATTGCCGAGTTTGTTGAAGGTCCAATATTTTCAGTTTCCGTCACGATTATGTCTCATAGTCTTACTAACAAAGGAAAGATTTGTCACTTGCATACAAAACAATCAAGCGTTATTAAATTAATCTTTATTTAGCGTAAATAAGGTATTCACCATTTATTTTTCTTTATCTTTCAATGAAAGACTGTTTGTGTTTTATTTCAGTGTTCGAAGGACTCCATTTCATGCTTTTTATCGGGTTTGGCCTTCTTCTGACATTTCTGAAGAAATATGGATTTAGTTCCTTGGGATATAATTTTCTTATTTCCGCTCTGGTTATCGAATGGTCCACGATCATGCAAGGATTTTTTGAAATGAAACACAACAAAATTCCTCTCGGATTACAAAGGTAAGCCTATATAATTTTCTCGAGATAAGGTGATCTTGTGTACCTTTCAACTATTAAAAATTGTTTGTCTCAAATGCTCTCGGTAGGGGACCCTTGATTATTTGACCTTGAGGGAGAGGGAAGGACCATCATATCACATACAAAAGTTATACTTTGACATGATACAAACATCGTACATGTGAATTTTTTTGTACTTCATCTCAAACCCACTCAGTGGGGGTTCTAGATCATTGACCTTGGAGAGTGGCAAGGGGTGCTGTTGCATACAAGCTGTACTCTGATAATACTTGTTCATCAAACAAGCATTGTACTTTGGTACAGAAGGTCTTGGGATCGACTCCAGCTGGGTGCTAATTTTTTGTACTTTGTCTCAAACCCATTCCGTTTGGGTTTTGGGTTCTAGATTATTGACCTTGGGGAACAAGAAGGGCTGCTCCTGCATATAAGCTGTGTTCTGATAAAACTGTTTCCAAACACTGACATCAAACAAACATTGTACCTGGGGTAAAGAAGGTTTCAGGATTGGCTCCATTTGGAAGCTAAATTTTTGTACTTTGTGTGTTTTTTTTGGGCTCGGAATTCTAGATCATTGACCTTGGAGAATGAGAAGGGCTGTTCCTGCTCCTGCTCATGTTTTCAGACATTGACATCAAACACGAAATGGCAAAATGATGAAATGGCACATGGTCAGCCTAAATAGTGGTCCAGTTAGCCTAAATAGCACTTGGGTTACCTTAATATCACTGACTCGACAGTGGATAGCTCTCAATAACAGTAAGGGTTAACCCAACTACAGACAGTGATTCTGACGGGATGACTCTTACCTGTAGCGCCATTTCATCATTTTGCCTTGACTTTTGTGTTTTAAACACACCTGTACCTGCCCATATACATGTATAACAAAATAGCACTACAGTTAGCCTAAATGGTGATCCAGTTTGCCTAAATATAGCACTTAGGCTATCCTAACATCACTGACTCGACAGTGGTCAGCTTTCAATAGTAGTAAGTGATAACCCCTACAGATATTGACTCTGACAGGACGACTGTTGCCTGTGGTGCCATTCATCATTTCACCATCATTTTTGTGTTTTAAACACTCCTGTACCTGGGTACAGAAGGTCATGAGGTGGAGGCAGTGTGGCCAAGTGGAGGCAGCATGGCCGAGTGGTTTAGAGCACCGGATTTGAAATCCGTAGGTACCGGGTTTAAATCTCGTTCTGACTGCTAGCTGATGTTGTTCTTGGTAGCCCTGTGTTCAACTTCTGGGCTGTGCTTGTAAATAGCTAACTGGTCTGCCTCCTGCCAGTTGGGATTCTTAACCTAGTTATGTTTATTTGAATATTTATTTATCATTGTTTGTTTACATTGGTCCTGAAAAGCCCTAATGGGGAATGGGGAATTAAGTATACATACATATATACTCAAGCTGGATGCTTATTTTTATGTTCTTTGTCTCAATTTCACTCAGTGCAACCTGGGACTCTAGATTACTGACTTTGGGGAATGTTTGCAAACACTGACATCACACCTGGGTACAGAAGCCTAACATCATGGGGTATCGGAACCTGTCAGATCATTCTAAGAACAGATGAAAAAACTTAAGACGATTAAATTTTTTTAACGACATAATGCCGAATTGGTCATGCTGCATACATAAAGCTAAAGGTGGCCATAGCTTTTGCCTGGTGGTTTGTCAGAGGTCTCATTGTCCTTATCAAGACTGTTTTACTTGTATATACTTTATTTTATGGTGGCAAATAAATGATGATGATGGAATTGTTCTAAAAAAAAATCAGAGCACTCCATTCGTAAATAGTTAGAGGAAAATTCTTCAAAATAGTTAATAGATTGAACACTCCATGAATGTAATTTGAGTGTAGTTTCTGAGCACTACTCACATGATAAATCAGAATAATGATTGATAGAACATAATACACTTTATCAATTGTGTTGATTTTGCTGCAAACATGGCGAAGTGCTGTTCACACAATTATTCAAGGCAATAAATTGTCAACAAAATAGATTGAATCTATGTTTACATGATCAGTCTAAATGCCATTTACATATTAATTTTCACTGAGTAAGAATGTAATCTTGACTCTCCATAAGCGGAGTGATCTGACCATACTATAGACCCTATTCATAAATGGCTGCCAATTTAAAATTCTTTTGTATGCATTTAAATAAGCCCAGTCAACCTCGTTTGAGAGTAAAAATTCTTTTGAATTATCAACTCAAAAGCGAGGTTAGTTGGGCTAATTTTATTACGGAAGAATTTTTAATTGGCAGCCATTTATCAATAGGATCTATGGAATGATCTTACTTTTTTGTGGAGTGATCTGACTTTTCAGTGGAATGATCAGACCATGGAATGATCTGACTATAAAGCGGTCATGAGGTTGACTCCAGTTGGGAATTGATGTTTTTGTACTTTGTTTCCAACTCTCTTGGTTGGAGGGGGGTTCTGGATTATTTGAACCTGAGGAAGCTGGAAATTGAAAAAATGTCAGGATGCAGAATTTTATTTGGTATTTACTACTTTAGGGTGGATCCTTAATTACATTAAGAAATGTTTAATAAAAAAAACATCAGTGATCATTGTGTTGTGTTAAGTTATCTTTTTGTAATTGTTTTTCTTTTAGTATGATCAAGGGAGACTTAGCTGCAGTTGCTGTGACAATCACCTTTGGAGCTTTGCTTGGTAAAACAAGCCATCATCAACTACTTGTTATATCGTTTATCGAAGTGGTTCTTTACTCAGTTAACAGAGCAATCGGCACCAAATTTTTCCATGTGATGGATGCTGGTAGCTCTATATATGTTCATACATTTGGTGCCTTCTTTGGTTTGGGGGTGTCACGGGTTTTGTACACTCGCAAAATTGTGGCTCATGATAAAGAGACTTCAAGATATACCTCTGACCTTTTTGCAACACTAGGTGAGTTAATTACTGTGTATCCTCAAATTAGTGCCCTGGCTCGAATAAGTGGCCCCTTTTAATAAGTGCCCCTCCTATCAGCCAAAATTTAAAACAACCATCCCCCCAGCCCTCAAATAAGTGCCCCCTCCCCTCCCCCCATTTTGTGGACAAGTAATTAGACAACAAAGGATGTATAGTTTCACTTTTGTCCGGCCTTTTTTTACACAGTCATTAGTAATTTACATCTTTACAGTACAGGAAACATCGGTTCTTTTTTTCTAAGTTGCATTCTACAATTTCTTGTTTCAGTTTGAGAACATGTTAAGTTAAAAAAAAAAATTACAAATTTGAAATACTAACGGTGCTGGGAGTTAAACTTTAGGATCATCTTTTTATATAGATAAACAGCTTGTGTTGTTGTTTACGTGCAGATGATGTATTTAAAAATGATTATGTCTCGCCATGATTTGAGAAAAATTAACAAAGCGCCTCCCCTGCCCCTCAATTAAGCACCTCCCTTGAGTAAGCAATTAAATGAAATAAAACAATTTAATCAACTGGTCCCATTCTGTATTTTAATTTCACATATTAATTCTAATTCTGTATTAAAGTTACAGAATGTGTGTTCTGTATGGGAGTTTACCATATATTCATGTGGCTTGAATAGTGCATTTCATTAGATCCATTCCTTTTGAATTATTAATGAAATTTTGCAATTTCTGCCAAGGAACAATTGTCTTATGGGTGTGCTGGCCAAGTTTTAATGCTGTGCTTGTTGAGGGAGTGTCAAGAAACAGAGCCATTGTGAACACATACTACGCAATCATAACAAGTTGTGTAACAACCTGTGCATTTTCATCTTTCATGACGAAGGGCTCAAAACTCAGTATGGTGGGTACTAACAGGCTTGCCCTTGTTTCTCACATTACATTTGTTGTAGAAACACAGGTCAGAATTTAGAATAGTAGAATCCAAGAATCAAGAGATAAACCTTTTTTTTTTTTTGAAGTGCAACTGTCATACATTTATGCTCTAAAATTTGAGACTCTGTCAAGACTCTCTGTAACATTAATATATTTAAAGTGTTAACTAAAGTAATTTACCCCTTACTATATCTTCACAGGTTCATCTCCAAAATGCAAGCCTAGCAGGGGGTGTGGCAGTGGGTACAATTGCACCCATGATAATTCAGCCATGGGGTGCAGCCCTGATTGGGTTTGTAAGTGGAGCTATGAGTACCACCAGCTTCAAGTATGTCCAGGTACAATACAGAAGTTGTAATCTCTGATAGTTTGTAGTAGAAAAGAAGGCACCATATTTGCAGTCTTTGTGTTTCAATAATGATTTTTTGTAAGGTATTTGTATTCACCTTATGAATAAGCATGATAATCTACTATTCTTCAGGAGCGATCCAGGATTTTTCAAGGGGGGTGGCTTGTACCTTGGGGTTGCAGAATCAATGTGGCATACCCCCAAAATGTTGCAATTTGAACCAAACTAAAACCTGTTACACCAGAAATACTAGCAATGCGGCAAAGTAAACGTTACTACAATGAGCTACCTGTCCAGAGTGTTTGCCTTATTTCTGCCATAATATTCACAATCTTATTTTAGTTTTTTTTTATTTTTTGGTTCACCCCTTCCCCCCTCTAAGTCTGCCCCTGTTATTACCTATGTGAGGTGTGGTTGCCAGTTGCCTAATTGCTGCACCATAGATCAAGTGATCAGTTTCCAGCCCTTGTCTGGGACATTGCGCTGTGGTCTTAGGCAAGGCACTTTACTCTCACAATGCCTCTCTCCAACCAGATGTATAAACTGGCACTGGCAAGTTTAATGCTGGGACTTGCATCACATCCATGTAGAGCAGAAATTCTCCTAGCCTTATGGGCCAGTGGCCTTGAATGTAGATTTAAGTTTTCATTTTCAGGTAAAACACTGCTTAAAGCAGTCCCATGCTTTTAAGCAGTCCTGTGCTTTAATTATTAAGCAGAAAGGGTAACTAAAAAGAGTTTGACCGTATATAATGCATTATTTATTGCTGGATAAATTTAACTCCTTGTATCCATCTCATCAATAAGTAAACCTCTTTACAGCCTTGGTTGATAAGGAAGCTTCGAGTTCATGACACGTGTGGTGTAAATAGCCTGCATGGAATCCCTGGGATCCTTGGAGCAATTGCAGGAAGTATCTCTGCAAGTCTTGCCAGCTATGAAAAGTACAAGACAAGGTAATCATCACTTTGAGAAGATTGTAAGAACGTGCCATGATGTAGAGGTTTAGTGTGTTAAACTCGAGATACAATGGGTTTCAAGTTCACTTACTTCTTACCTAGGGCCTTGGTTGTCTGAGATCCAATCATTTAAACAGGTGGCTTGGCCTAATGGTTAGAGCATGAGATTGTAATTCTGGGTTCAAATCCTCCTCCCTGCACTAGAGTGATCTGTGTTTGGCGGTCATGGATTCAACTCCTCTGTGCATCGTAAATAGCCTACTGATCAGGCTTTAACCAGTTGGGATTTTAACAAATAGTTTCTTATTTCTACAGTCAAACCTCTTTTGTAAGCAACCACCTCTTCTCAGTGACCAGTTTTCCAAAATACCGAAAGGTTCCCAGACAAATCACTATATGTGGAACCTCTTGTAAGCAACCACCTCTTGTAAGCAACCACAACCACTTTTAAAACTAAAAGTTTGACATTTTCTTTTGTTTTTAACCTCCCGTAAGTGATCACTTGACAGATAATAGAGAGGAAATTAGATAATAAGGTGTTTTAATATTATTGTATTCCTGGGTAGTACAAGAAATGGAAATTTCTCAATGGGAAGAATCAGATTTTTTATTTGAAATTGACTTTTCATAAGAATAAAACATTGCATTGGCATTGGTGCATGGGGTAAGTCTCAGCAGTTACCATTTTCTAATGAGCCAAAATTTTGATTCAATGTGGTCTAAAGTCTTTAAAGCGACCACCTCCCATAAGCGACTAACTAGACTTGACATTTTGGGTGGTCGCTTATGGGAGGTTCAACTGGGTTTGCAATATTTTGTTTCTCAATATAGTGACCCAATTTGCACAGTAGTGCAAAAATATCATGACACTTGAATAAAGTGATTTGATTTATTGCTATTCTGCAGGGAATTAAAAAAATATTAACCAAGATATTTTTTCTGTCATTTCATAGCCCGTTTCACTGCTTTTTTAGGAAACAGTTTGGCATTGTCCAAACTATAAATGCTTGTCAACTTTTTTTGATCTCAAATTTTATGCCTATCCTGGTTTACCTTAATCTTGTTTTGAATTTTTGGATGTAAATGTGTGCAAATAAGTATTGGGAATTGGTTATGGTAACTTGTCAAACCTACCTCCTGTAACACAATCATAAGCTTACTGTTTTTGTATTTTTCTTTCTTTCAGTCTGTACAAGATATTTCCAGCAAGGGCACCTGTTGTCAATAGTACCCAGTACTTTGAGTTGGTTGAATTTGACCCAGATGCTGTGGATGGCCTGGGATGGAGTGCAGGGCAACAAGCAGGTTTCCAGTTTGCTGCTTTAGCAGTTACACTAGTAGTGGCAATATTAGGTGGAGTCTTAACTGGTAAGCTAGTTCTAGGGTGATCAATACCTAAATTAATGCTACATTCTCAATACTTCATCAAGCAGCAGTTGATGAGAATTAAGACAGTCATCAACTAGGGGAAATTGTCTTGAGGGACCTTCAAATTCACAGAACTACAATTTAAAGACATTCGCGTGGAAATGTTTTACAGTAAGGACACTTGAACTGTGAATACTTGACCTTTTTTTGTACCTTTTTTTTTATGACTTAAGAATTTTTTTTGTGTGAAAATACATTCTTTATTGACACACATAAACCTATATACAGTACAATGCAATAAAAATGTACAAAAAAATGTCAAGTGTTCACAGTTTGAGTATCGTCACTGTAATGCACACAGAATTTTTGCAAACTTTTGTTCCAGTCAGATAACGGGTTTCTTGTGTCTGAAATGCAAGAAAAAACTGGTGTCACCAACTTCATTTAAA